GGGATCAACTCGCTTGTTCCGTCAAGGGGAGGTACTCGGGGGCTCGCTGTGATCGGTCGCGATCGATCTGTGGTGAACTGGCGAGCCCGTACCTGCAGTACGTCGCACAAGCGGTGTGTCATGGGGTAGTGGATTTGCTTTGAGAAGTTGTGCACGCTGCCGTTTCCCGATCTACCCATAGAGGAGGGAGAAGGTTAGGAGTGAAAACTCCGGGCGTTGGAGCCCATCGACCCCCTTGAATTGGGGCAGTCCCTGAACCAGACCCGGAGCGTTTGAGGAAGGATGTTGCATCCCCCCACGGGGGGCTGATGTCATCCCGGAGACCAAGCTCGGGAGCTCCCGATCGCTTTTTTGGTCATTCGCCGAGTGCGTGGAGTAGTACAGTATTCATACGTATCCTATTTCTAGGCTGACACCCCACTGGATCGCGGGTGGAAACAACAGCGTCAGAGGGTGGCGCTGTAGGGCTGTCATCTCGCAAGGAAGGGTTTGGGGATTGCGGCTCTGCTGTAGCAGCTTGGACCTTACTGTTGATCGACCGAGTGGTCAATTCCTCTCGATAGTGTCGGGGCTGGGTGCATTATACGGGTGATGTCACTTTCTAGGGGGCCAACAACAGAACATGGGACTGTACTGTCGGTACCATGGTGCTGTTTGTTGCGTATACGGGTAACTGGCCGCTGAATCAGGTCGAGTCAGGCACAAACAAGCAAGGGCCGGATATGGTGGCGTCGTGTGGGTAGCTCTAGTCAGGCACCAAGAGATAGGACGGTTTCGAAGGAGAGAAAATGGTAGCTTTCCCCTGACTGACATGAAACAACAACGTGGTGGGCGCCGTAGAAACTAGGAAAGTTGCCATGTCAGACTGGCAGGACTAGAAGCTCCAGATTCAGATGGTAAAGTCGGCCCCCTGAACGACTGCACTATGTTGTTTTCTCAGCGGTCAAGTGGACGGCCAAAGTTGAATAAAACAACCAAGACCGAATTAAACTCACCCAACCACAGTGTACCGAAGTGCAATGTTCAAGGCAATGCCCATTATGTTATTATGTACCAAGTACTATACAGTAACCGCTAAATCTCAGGATGTAAACTCATCAGTGGTGGTAACCACACGGTATCAAGACATAGCCAGCCAAGACCCCAGGCACCACAGAATAGACAACCAGTCCCAATAAAAGCCAAAAACCCCAAGCCATGCCAAACTCGCTAAATCCCATCATGATCATAACGAAAAGCCAAAAAATCGCTCGCCTCGCCATCAAGGCAGGCCACTTAGTCTTCCTGAACCCACCCCCTGCTCATCTCGACGGCCTTGCCCCACTTCTTGAACATGCGCTCGGCCTGGGCCTTCTCCATCTGCGGCTGGAAGACCTTGCGGCCGTTCCGGTTGACCTCCTTGAGGTCTTCAAGTTCCCTCCACACACCGGTGGCGAGGCCTGCGGCGATGGCGGCGCCCAGGGCCGTCGTCTCGCGCATGCGGGGGCGGTCGACGGGGATGCCCGTGACGTCGGCCTGGGTCTGCATGCACAAGTCCGAGTTGGAGAGGCCGCCATCGACGGCCAGCGTCTCGAGCTTGTGCTTCGAGTCCTTCTCCATGGCCTCGAGGATGGCGCGGGTCTGGAAGCAGGTTGCTTCCAGGGTGGCGCGGGCGATGTGGCCCTTGTTGGTGTGCTGGGTGATGCCAACTGTGAAACTGTTAGACAAGATGGAAAAAAAGAAAAAAAGAGTAAAACAGGGATTCTTACAGATTGTTCCCTTGGCGTCGTCTATCCAGTAGGGGGCAAAGAGCCCGCTAAAGGCTGTGACAAAGACGACGCCGCCGTTGTCGGGGACTGATTCCGCCAACGAAGTAATCTCGCTCGACTCCTTGCCGAAGCCAAAGTTGTTGACGAGGAACTTGACGCCGGAGCCGGCGACGGCGATGCTGCCCTCGAGGGCATACACGGGTTTCCTGCCGCGGCCAAAGTCGTAGGCCACGGTGGAGAGGAGGCCGTACTTGGAGATGACGGGCTCGTCGCCGACGTTGTACAGGAGGAAACACCCCGTGCCGTACGTGTTCTTGGCTTGCCCCGGGCTGAAGCCGCATTGGCCGACCAGGGCGCTGGACTGGTCGCCCAGACACCCCGCAATGGGCACGTTGATCAGTGGGCCGCTGGCGATCTTGCCGAAGCACTCCGGGTCTGATGACGGCACAATCTTGGGCAGCTGCACCTTGGTCTTGTCGATGCCGAAGAAGCCCAGGAGCTTGTCGTCGTACTGCATGGTGCGCAGGTTCATGAACATGGTCCTGCTGGCGTTGGTGCTGTCGGTGACGTGCACAGGCGGGTCGGCCTTTGCGCCGCCGTTGAGCTTGTAGATGAGCCACGAGTCGACGGTGCCGAAGGCGAGGCGGCCCTCGTCGTATGCTTGCTTGACCGAGTCGACGTTTTGGAGGAGCCAGGAGAGCTTGACACTGCTGGGGTATGTTGAGAGGGGCAAGCCGCAGAGTTCCATCAGGCTACTCGACTCCTCGCGCGCCTTGAGTTCGCGCACCAGCGCGCTCGTTCGCGTGTCGGGCCAGACGATGGCATTGCAGAGCGGCTCGCCGGTGTTGCTGTCCCATACTACTGTGGTCTCGCGCTGGTTGGTGATGCCAATTGAGCGGATGTCCGACTTTGAGTAGCCGAGGTCGACAAACTTGCGCAGGGCCTCCTCGATACATTGCTCGACAGAGCTGACCAGCTCGAGCGGGTCGTGTTCGTGCCATCTGCATTTGACGTTTGGTTAGCCCCGTCGGGGTGCACTAGCTCCGCAGCCAAGGTGGGGTGGTGCGGGGCGCGAGCAGCAGCCGGGCATACATACCCTGACTTGGGGTACAGGTTCTCAAACTCTATTTGGTGGCTCGCGACGGGATCGCCCTCGCCGTTGAAAATGAGGAAGCGCGACGACGTGGTGCCCTGGTCGATGCTACCGACGAACCAGTGCTGCTTCTTGCCGTCGTCCGTCTCGAGGATGCCGCGCGGGAGGTGGTCCTCGTGATGCGGGTGGAAGTCGGCCGTGTCGTCCGGGAGTCGCCTGGGCGTGGCGGCAGTGGGCTTCATCAACAGGCCGTCCAGGTTGAGGCTGGGACCGCCGTTGACGAGCGTGTCCTCAAACCGGGCCGGATTGAGTTCGGTGATGTGTACCATGGTGGTGTCTTGGTGCTGTGTTCCCGTGGCTGTGTGTGCATGTACTAGTGGTGGTGGTGGTAGTGGTAATGGATGATGGCTGCTGGATTGGAAAGGGCGGCGCTGTGGTTGTTGGTTTTGGTTTTGGATCTGGGACGAGACAATGGATGGCCGTGACCGCGGACGGCGTAGCACTGATAAAGGGCGCCGGCGCGGGGCGGCTTGGGGGGTGTCAGAATCGGGGAGGATGACAGAGGAGGGGGGTACGTCATCCAGGGCGTGGCCCTAGCTATGCGTACAGCGAGTGTGGTCCTTCGATCTGTGGCAGCTGCTTTGGATGCGACTCCGCTGTGATGCTTGCAGTGGCGCTGCCGGTTTCCACAGGGCTCTGGCTCCAACAGTTGTGACAGCGCGAGGGACAAGTGCCCGCCAGAATGGTTGCGCGCACATTGCGGCGGCGGCGGTCTTTTAAGTGCCGGCACGGCGTCTCGTTAGGCGGTGCTGGTCGCAGCGTGTGTGCCCGCGGGCATAATTTTTTTGCTGGCTGAGAGCGGCCCCGGCCCTTCGCGGAATCGCGGTTGCATTCTGCGGACAGGGAAGCTTGGACCTCGGTCTCGGCCACCTGGCATTGGTGGATTTTTTGCGGGGGACGTTACCCTGGGGGATTCTGCTGTGATCACGGGAAAGCAAAGGCCACCGAGTTCCACCACTCTGGGACCCCGCAGCGAACCCCGCTGAGAGCTCCGCTCGAGAGTCTCGAACTTCGACACTGACCCAGCATGGCATTTCTGATCGTCGCTCTGCGCCGCCCACAGCTGGATTCCGTTAACGTCATCTAGAGTCAAGCCGGACCAGAGCTCCGACTTGATGTCTTTGCCATCAACGAACATCATATTCTTGTTCTCTGCCAGTGATGTCGCTTCTCCACCGAATTCTCCCCGATCTCCAACTCAGGGGTTATGTTGCAGCTTCTCAGACGCTGCCCCTGAGAAATTGGACTGCCCCAGGCCGCTACTGCACAGGAAAGGGCACGTCTGGGTCTGCGGCTGTCTAGGCCCTGCCGATCTCGACCTGCACTGCCGACACCTCCTCCTCATGGTCACTTGACACGAACGCGTGAACACGCAAAAGCAAAATTGCAACCCACAATGAGGGCTGGCTAGAACTTTGAGTGCCCGGGTTCATCCAAGCACACGGGGGCCTGATATCGGCAGAGACTCGCCCGAGCGAGCTTTTGGTCGCGCCCCTGGGGGAAAGCTTTAAAGCGGACCGAGTCAGGTCCCAACTGCAACCACACTGACTTTTCCTATCTGCCAGGCACCTGCATCGCCGTCTCATCCCACTGATTCAGGAACCAGCGGTCTAGACAGTGAAGAGGAGTGCCCGGGTGCCTCGTGATTTTTTTGGGGAATTACGACGCACAAGGTGTCGCAGATAACAACTAATACTCGCAGACAACGGAAATTGAACCAGCGAGAAAGATACCAGCAGCATGAAAGAACCCCAAAGGATGCCGAGACGAGCAATGAGCAATATGCAATTCGGATAAAAGGGAGACGACTCAAAACGAAGGGAACACTGTCGGTCATCTTGGCGACCATTTATTAAGACGCTACATACCTAGCTAGGTACACACCATAAAACCGAGAAAGACGAAACCCCCTCTCGAGCCCCTCAACCCCAACGGAGGATGACAAACTGAACAAGAACCAAGACCCGGGACTTCCAAAAACGGAAAGCCAGCCCAAGGTGCAGAATTCGAAGGCCGCATGACTGCGGGGGTCAAAAATGAAAAAGGAAAGAACGCGCAAAAACCGAAAAAACAGAGGCAATCGCACTTGCCGGGAATTGAGCCCGACGTGGGGGTCGAACCCACAACCTTGAGATGAACTCGGATTTAAGAGTCTCACGCTCTACCGATTGAGCTAGCCGGGCAGGCTAGATGATTTGTTGGAGAGTGGTGCACAAATTTGGGTTGAACTGGCACAGAGTTGTGCGGTGGACCCATTGGTGTGAACCCGCCATTCCGGTAATGACCCCCACATAACTTGAGACACTGCATGTCAAAATCCACGGCAACCAAATAACTGAGTTGATTGGAGACGATGCGTCTTTCGAAGAGTTCAACAGGATCTTATTTCCCTGTATTTAAAACTGGCTGAGTCGTCGAGGCGGACAATCTCTCTCAAAAGTCCGGGCTTGCAAACCAGTACACTGTCAACCCAAGCCATCACCCGCGCGATGCAAACATGTCAGACAGAGACCTTTTGTTTATTCCTCTACCTCTGGTAAGATCGGCCCATCTGCGCGACTCCAGAGAGATGCTCCGATGCTCCTGTCCCAGACCCTTCCCGATCTAAGCATGCACACACACAGCCTGCCTGCAGCCGTCAGTAAACTCCCCAGCCCCGACACATACCACAGCCAGCCAGGTATTAACTAACCTCCACCCATCCATCCCAAAAGAAAGGCCCTATCCCATTCCATAAATCCGCGGCTGTCTACCATCACAAGCCAAACCCAAACCCAATCAACCAGCCCATCATCATCGTCATCGTCAAAATGCATACTCGCTTGCCCGCCGCTCGCTCATCAGTGGTATCGTGGTATCTAACCCGAAGAATGCTCACTCCACACAGGAAACGGAGAGGAGAGCCCAGCCACACTGCAGGTTAGAAATGAAGCAACCACGCGAAACAAAGAATAACCCCCAAAATGCCACTCAACGCCGTGCCCCCATAAAGATAACCAACTTGACTCCTCACTCAAGCCCCCCAAAACCTCAATCAGAATCCATCCTCCCATCCACCTGCGACGACGACGGCATCCCCCCTCCAAACCCCTGCGAAGCCTGCGACGCCATGGACGCCGCCACCATAGACATAGCCGACGAGGCCGCCGTCCCCCTCCTCACCAACAACCCCTGCGACGACGACGGAGCCCCAACACCACCACCATTACTTCCGACGCCCCCCATCGTCCCACTCCGATTCAGCGTCGGACTGCACCTCCCACTCCGGCTCGGACTCGGGATCGCCCTCCCCGTCCTCCTCTCCTCCTCACAGTTCGGGCAGGGCCCCGGGATGTCATAGACGTCGTACAGGTGCCGGAACCAGGGGTACAGCTGGTGGGCGGCGGGGCGGAGCGTCTGGGTCTCGTCCATCATGCGGCGGATGTGCGGCAGGATGGAGAGCACGGCCTTGACCGAGGCCTCTCGCGCAGGGTCTGACGCGACGACGACTACGTCGCGCGCGACGAGGGAGAGGGTGGTCAGGTAGGCGTCGAGGTTCTGCAGGGATTCCGAGTACTTGAACTCGGCTCCTGTGCATCCGGTGCCGGTGCCCGAGGACGAGATGGAGTGGCCGTCGCCGCCGCCGCCACCGCCGCCACCCCCGTGGGCGAGCTGGTCTTCTGCGAATTTGGGTGGTCGGCCCAGGAGCACGGTGGCCATCTCGAGGAAGACGCAGCCCAGCGAGAAGATGTCGGAGCGCTCGTTCCGGCGCTCCTCGTGCATCGCTTCCGGGTCGGCGTACTTGAGCGTCTTGGGGGTGGGGCCCTCCGAGTACTGGCCCGTCTCGAAGTGCTTGGAGAGGCCAAAGTCGGTCAGCACGGGCAGGCCAAAGTCGTCGATGACGATGTTGTCCGGCTTGATGTCCTTGTGGCGGATCTTTTGCCGGTGGAGGTATGCCACGGCCTGCGCGAGGCAGCCAAAGTAGGTGTGCAGATGCGGCAGGATCCATTCGGCCTCCTTGGGGCTCTGGAAGGCGTCGTCCATGAAGGTGTGCAGGTTCCACTGCGCCGGCGGGTACATGGCGATGCCGAGGACATGCTTCTTGATCCGCTGGTTCACCCTGAACAGCACGGAATGGCCTCTGCCTCTTGGGTGACGTCTGATCTCCCGGGTCTGGATGCAATAGTCTTCGAACGATGCCACGTACGCGACGATGTGGGGATGTCGAAGAGAAGACATGGTCTTGACCTCCTTGAGCGCGTCGCTCCGAGCCTTGCTGTCCGGCCCCGGTGGCCGCGAGTTCTCCTTGCACACGATCACCTTGAGGGCGAGCGGCCGGCGGTACGCATATCCCTCGGGGGGCGTGACCTTGTAGACGATCGTCGAACCGGACTCGCCAAGTTGGTCTTGTTGCACAAACGGGCTGGGCGGCTTGAGGTACTCCTTGCTGTTGTGATGAAAGACCTTGTGTTTCTTGGGATCGAGGTGGGCCTTCTCAACAGGTGCCAGCCACTCGTCCGACATCTCCCGGCAGGTGTCGTCCCACGCAAAGTGGTGGTCATCCTGGCAGCTGAGAAAGTCACTCAGCGGGATAATTCGCCCTTGGGACGACTGGCTGCCCTTGGAGTCGAACGACATCGGGCCCAAGGGTCAAAAGAAAGTGGGATGTGTGGGACAAGGGTACGAGGCAGGCTAAGCAGCCAAGCAGGACGGGGGAGGGGAAGGGTGCGGTGAAACAGTTCCGGGCCGAGTCCGTGGTCCGTATCAGCGGCAGTGCATCGGCTCCGCAAACGAATAGAGCAGGAGGTGGCACAAGAGCCAGAAGAAGTCGAGATTGCCGAGGATGTGGCCAGGGAGCGAGCGTGCGCAGAGGGGGAGAAAAAACCCAGGTAAAGAGAGCCTCAACAAGGCAAGGCTGAGTGAGTCTCTGCGGTGTGTCGGCAGGCTTCGCATCGCTTTGGGGTAGCGCCCTGCTGCGGCGGCCGGAGGTCGGTTCCAGTTGGATCGCCCGGGATGACGGACTGTGATTCGGCGCCAGGTGCCGGCCACACAGCGCAGACGCCTGACAGGACAGGGCAGGTCCCAATTGGCGTCGCCCGGTGCTCGCAGTGGCAGGGTCGGCGGTCGAATGGGCGAGAACAGCGCTCAGGAAATGCGGCGATCGGTGAGACGGTCACGGTCAGGGCGGGAGAGAGTTGTGCTCAAGGCTGATCCAGGTCGGGGCATGGATACCGAACCCGTTGCTGAACCTGACTTCCAGCCACTGTCCGGGAAAGGCACAGGCCATGCGATGCCCTGGTCGTGTCACACTGTCATGCTTTTTGAACGGGGATGTTTTGGAACGGGCCCGCAAACCGGATGCACAGTCGCGGCACAGTGGTGCCTGGTGGTGGGTCGGAACGGGCCCGGCAGTCACCCGCAACGACGGCAGGAGCGGATCGGAAAGATCAGGGTTGCACGGGAAGCAATATAAATTATAAACTTTCCACGACCCGCAGTTTGTTGGTTGTCAGTTCGAGGCTATTTCTGAGCCCATAGGCAGGAAAATAAAACCACATGGCATTGTTTACCTCCCACAGAACCATTGCAGCCAAGAGCACCAACCACCAACGCCAGGATCACGTACCCTAACCCTAGCCCCTGAACCTCCGTGCATGGAAGGAACGACGAGGACTTCGGCAGAAACTGACCGAGCATCGGGCTCGAAAGAACGCGTTGACTTGTCGTGTGACTCATCTAAAGTTGCTCATGTGGCCACAGTGTGAAGCCGGAGTCAAACAACCGGAAGGTTCGCCAGCTGCTACGAGGAAGCCCGGCGCATGACCTGCCGCCCAGCGCTTGCCAGCTTTCTGGCTCTTCAGATCCGACCGGAATATGACTGTTTACTTCGGGCTCCAGCCTCTCCCGGTTTTCCCCGATGGAGGCCTTCAACGTCCCGTGGAATTGTATCGTGCCTTCCAGGGCTCAAGCAGCGAGGGACGGGTGGTTTGGAAACGCTTCCGCTCAGTGATGTATTCAAAGTCATGTACTAGAAGAAAGTAGGTGAACGGCAGATCCAAACATGATTACAACTCATCTAGCGCATACCCAAGGTCATCATCCCCTCTGTTCCGCCTCGAATCCAACCATGCGGTGTATCTGCCCATGCTGAGTGACCCAAGCTTGTTGTCGACGAAGCATACCGTCCGCGGAGACGATCTCACAGCCCACCCAAAGCTACAACCAATCAGCATCCCCACAACAAAATAAGTTCAGTCAAGCAGGTAGGTAAGGCAACTCACCAGCAGAATAACACAAATACCACGTCAAACTCGCCCCCCCATCCAACCACCCCGCCTCAAACCCCTCCCTCCCAAAAAACTCATTATACGCGCCGCGGGGATCAACCGTCGCATAATTCCCCCACAGAATTCCCCGCCACCCGCCCTGCACGGCGTCCACGCGGCCCTTGCTAAAGAACGTGTCCCACTCCTCGCGCACAAACGCGGGCGTGCGCACCATCGGCGTGTGCGGCAGCAGCGGGAGCATGTGGATGCCCTGGATGAACTCGATGTTGGTGCCGAAATACGTCGTATGGTCGATCTTGTTCTCGAACAGGATGCCGGCCACCTTGTTTCCGATAAATTCGGGCGGCTGGATCTGGTTGGCGGCCGTGTAGAGGTAGTAGGACTGCAGGGAGCGGGACTGGAGGGCGAGCATGAGGTTGCCGCTGGGGGCGCTGGTGGTTAGGATCACACCTGAAGAGACAAAAAGGGGGAGGGAATAAAACATACCGGGCTTCCAGGTTCTTGTCGCCCGCGATGGAGCCCCACATCTTCAACGCGTAGGCGTGCATGGTGTCCTCGGAGCTGGACTCTTGGTCTTTGCCGTCGAGCGTGTCAAAGAGGCCGTGGGCCCAGCTGTGCCCGTGGAACCAGTCGAAGCACCGCCAGACAGGGAAGTACTGGTCCCGCGTGCTGGGGTTGGCGACGTCGCGGACGAGCATGTCGACGTAGGCCTTGTTGGCGGGCACCCACGACGGGTCGAGGTGCCCGATGACGGCGGCCGTGTAGATGAAGTAGCCCCAGTGAAAATGATGGTCGTTGTACAACGTGTTGCCAAAGTCGACACCGTTGTCGCCCGTCACGTACGTGGCGGACGAGACCACGCCGCCCCAGGCGCCTGCTTGTGTCAGACACCGAACTCATTATACTCGACGTTGCTA